ATACTATAAACAAAACTATATATCTCAAATTTGATAACTGACAGGGACTGTACCATGCATGACTTGTTTTTTTTTTATATATTTTTATATGCACAATGTATAAAAACCCATAGTCAATAGAAAACTATGTCCATTAGGTCTAAGTGTAGAAGAAGAAAAAATAGGTAAAAAAAAATTATGGGTGAGGAAAATATGGTGCACAAAGGAATTAATGGATGTAAACCAAATACTTAGTACATAGAAATTGTTAACTGGTAATCATATAGTCTTTGGTTGATTACTCAATATAACCAGACATTTTAGTTTAAACATGTAGTAGTATTAGAATACATGTAGGTATTGAAATGTTAGTCACAAATCTATATTTATCTGTTCTGCTAGCTTTTTTTAAAACCAGAAGTTTCAGATAACCAATTATATCTACTGTATTAATGTTCTATTAAAAGCGTATGCTACATACAAACATGTACATACATGTGTGTGGTCTTTCAAATGGTACCCTTTTCACCACCACACTTTCTCGCCAAAGTTTTTCTTCACTTTTTTCTTGTATTCTCCCATATTTCTGGAAATGAAATCTAATTTTGGAGCCAACAGACAACATTTGAGTAAATTTTCAGTTTTCACTCAAATTTTGGCTATTTTTGTACCAAGTTTCTGAAGGAAAGTGCAGACTATATATAAACAGAATTATTTTGTGAATTTGTGATGAAAAGAGGGAACTGGTGGTGAAAAGGTTAATGATGATGTATGTTAATAATAAGCACAATTTTGCAAGACAGCAAATACAAATATAAGCATGCCCCATGAAACTTATATAAAGCTCCCACACTTTGAAGCAGATGAGGGTGGGTAGAACTGAAGAATCAGCTGTTTCCCCAGTTATTAAAGTTGGTGTGTATCATTTGAAATGTTTTTATGGTATAAATGTTTTAAAATGAAATTGTGAACAAAACGTTTTGGATATATCATGTACATTTGTATTTGAAAAGATTCCAGCTGCTATGCCAACCATTTCAAATTGATTGTTTCAAAAGAAAAATGTTTTTTGACTTCTGAAAACTTAAGGTGAAATAATAAATCAGTTATATTTCTACATGTACGATGGTAATGCCATGTATGCATTCACATGGCACTGTGATAATTGTACATTGATCTAGGTGTTCACTTCAGGAAGCCCTCAGTTTTCAGAATTTCCAATGCTTTACAAATGTACACATGACGAAATTATAAATCAGTTATAATCCATTTGTTTGTACGCAGTGTATGATGATACTGCCAAACTTATACATGTACCAGTTGCTTTATAAGAAGCGCATCTCCAATAGAAACACATACATTTACTGGTATTGTATAATTAATCAGGGATTTTTTTTTAAACAAGAGAAATTACCCTGGGAAGCAGATCCTCTGGCAACCATAAAATTCTGAATGACCAGGGATCACATGTGACCA